TGTAATTAACGAAATACTTTTTGTTGACCACAGTTTTGTAACCAATATAACATTTTTTATCAAATTCAAGAAATATTCGACGAAGGGCGCATATTTCATGTCATGTAAGTGTGAGCCAGTTTTCTGGAAAAGTTTGAAAGCTCCTAACTTGGTAAGTTATAAAACCACAGAAAATAGCACTATTATTATATAGTTTAACTCTATGAAACATATCTATCGGTTAATTGTTGTCTTCGCCTATCTAGAAAGCAGCAAACCTCTACAAAAATTATAAGGGAACTAGCATACTTCTACTACCAAATATACAGAAAAAAATCAGCATAAACCAAGTTTAGATCGATTTCGAAACTTTCATAGCTATAAAGCGGCCGTTAAATGTCATTTGTTAACAAACAGGAATTGAGTGTCTATCATCTCTTAAAGTTCTCGAGTTGTCATGAATTTGAAATCATATTAAATCATATAAAACTTTCGTATGAGTGTACTTGCATGCTACACTCACACACACACTCGTCGGTATGTAGGTCTGCAACTAATGTAAAAATGTCTCTGTAAAAAAATCAAAGTGTTTGCAGATTACAATGAGACAGCGCTAGTCATAGCGACTCATCGCGAACTAAATCAACATGCATAAATTTACATGGCATTAAAGTCGCGTATACGCAGTGTAGAACGGCACGACATGTTTACATGGTATCATGTCAAAGACAAGCGTATAGCAACATGTATATTTATATATATATTAAGAGACGTTTAATATATATATATTTATATATATGTATGTATATATTATATATATAAATATACAGTTTTAAATTAAATAACGATTTTTATATTAATTCTGAATTTTTCAAGCACCAAAGTAATTTAGTGCAAAAAATAAACAATAAAACTGTCTTTTCCATTATAAACAATGAAACTGATTGCTTGAGTGTCTGCCAGCAGCACTTGTACTGCAAATGTGATATGAAAAATGGCAGTGCAATCAAGTCGTGCCTGCATTTGCACGCATACATATACAAGTATCTACATACATTTATATACTGTTACAGTAAAGTTAGTAAGCACTAAGCAATTACAAGCATCATTATTGATGCGAGTCCACAAATCTGCGCATTTACTTTGATGTCCTACTATGGCGACTAAATTGAGATACAACGACATTTCATTTCCCTCATTTGCACATCACTCATTTGTTTTTATTTGTTTAGCTTTCAGTACTTTACTTTAGTTTTCTATAAGTTTTCCATGCAGGTCTACATACAGGTGGTCATGTGCTGAGCAGGCTTCAGCACCACTGCCAGTGCATTTGTCCATGTTCTTACGTATGTATGTATGGCGTAGGTATGTTTCTCTAATTGGCGGCGGTTGCAATTGTTGTTCATTTGTGGCTTTCATGTTTAATTGTGTGCATTTGACCAAAGTTTTCACATCTCGAAATGGTAAGTAAATAAAATAAATGCTGCTACGCACTGGGTGCTGTGGGCGTGCGGAGAGGCAGGGAATAAAGACATTTATGTGGTATACACTACACGTATAAACGTGTTTTTTCATCAGAAAGTTAAATTTTAAATTTATATTAATTCAAAATTATTATTACGTTGGAATAAAAATGTTGAAAAATGTAGCAAGCAACCATAAATTAAAGGGAATTTTATTAGCAATGTGATTTTGAAGAGGGTTTGTAATTATGTTTTTGGACAAGTCGCCGTCACGGCTGGTTGGAGTGAATCCAGACAAAAGGCTCAATATAATATATGGACCGTACACCCAGGCGTCAACCGTTTTGGACTTAACTGCGTAGATAAGAAATTTCACATAACCCTCTAGTGAAAAACAGTGTAGCGGTGATAAATCACTTTGAAGGTCTCCTCACCTGCCCACGACCGAGATAGTGCGCTCAACAAAATACTCTTTCATTAAGTTGATTGTTTCATTGGCTGTGTAGCATGTAGTGCCAATTTTGTAGGTGCTCCAAATCAATATCCTCAAATTCAGGTGCAAAAATATCATTAAACATGACTTTATAGCTTTCCCGCATTGACTGTGACATTATGACCCGCTTCAGCTTTGAAGAAATTGGGTCCAAGAACCGTAGAGCACAAAGGGGAGTGATTAGTATTGCATACTAACATTCGGATTGCCTGCATTCGACTCCTGTTTCAACCAACAACTAGAGCTATAGCAGCGAGTGACAAGACCTCCGAGTATTTTTCTGATATGAAATAAAAAATTAATCATAAAAATATATCGGACGTTCGAAGGAGGCTTAGAATAAACTGTAGGTCGCTTCATTTATTAATATAAGTGGAATTAAATAAACAAAAAACAAAATGAAAATTCAATACTTTAAGTTTACGCTACAGAGAAATTGTGGACGGTGATGCTCCTTAATTTATTGGCACACATTTTATAATGAATGAAGTAAAAACAATTAAAATGGCATAGAAATAAAAATGTCCTTAGCACTCAACAAAAGCGCAGCAAAAACGCCTCAGGCCGTTTTGGTAACGAATTACATACATATATACGAGGACGAGTATTTCTTTGAATGAGTCGGAAATTCAAACTGGGATGCGGACAAGAACCTTGCTTCTTGCAAAAGTCGTTTATGGCTCTTTAATCTGCCTACAATCCATAGTCGTGGAATGATGCTTGGAGTTTTGTTTTTAACTAAATTGATAAGAGGTGCTATCAATAGCCCTTTCCTAATTAGCGAGCTTAACTTTACCAACCCGTTGAGATCATCTCGACACCTTAGGTCCCTTCCATTGGGCTCGTGCAGAACAAACTTTTAGATCTTTGTGTAACGATTTTAATACACATTTCCCCAACATTGATGCCTCTGACTCACTTTTCTGTATCAAAATCTACTTACTAAGTGCTATAAATAATTAAATAAATTCCCTTTTCTTTTCTCCATGCAATTCGATAGCAGCTGATGAAGAAATCTGTAGCTGTTTAGTGTAAGATGTAGGTGTAACCGCGACCTTCCGTTATCGGTTTCGGGTTCACGGCAGTCCGGACTGTTTTTTTTCGGTTTTGGGCTCGGCAGTCCGGTTTTCGGTTGGATTTTCCGATTTCCCTCATTCGCACCCTCGGTCGGTTGGGCGGGAGATAGGTAACGCTGGGTTCGTCGTCATAAAAAAAAGTAAGGGCTTTGTTACAAATATTAGCCTAGATACGTTTTTCTTTCCACCAATGGAGAGGGTGCTTTGGTTTTGTCCACCGCATTTTGGACTCATGTAAAATATTTAATGTCAAACTTTTGATATTTAAAAAAAATGTTTTGCATTATTAAAAATGAAAAAAAAATATTTAAAATTTCTAATTAATTTATTTACACTGGGTGGGTGCTTTAGTTTTGGCCAATACTGTACGTATAAGTAGCCTTCAAGTAACAAATCAGGGTCCGCAGATTCAATGCTATTCCTCAGATTATTTCACAACATGCTTGTTGCTTTTTAGGATAGGCATTCATACATATATATATAACTGGCGCTTTGTAACCGCTGACGCGATTTTTGGCCGAGCTCCTCCACCGATTTCTAGATACTTTTCCAACAAATGGATGGACCCACAGTTTATACCAAGCCGCCTCCGAACGGCTGCTGGTTTTTTATGAGAAGTTTTTATTAGAAAATTGAATTTAGTTCTTTATTCAAATTAATTTACTATAAATTTTGGACCTTGGTCGTACCAAGATTTGAACTCGGGCCTTCCGAATGGCAGTACGCAATGCTAAGCACTCGGTTACCACGGCCACCAATAATATATTCATATATATTATATAATTGGTGTTTTATAACATCTAAAATGATTTTTGGCCGAACTCCTGCTCCAATTTCTACCCTGCGTCTTGACGTTTTTTAACATAAATGCACTCGGTGGACTTTATATTCCCTGCCGGAATTTGTGAACAGGATAAAGAATGAGATAAAGAAAGACAAAGACATTCTTTTTAAACACCTTGAAACTGCAAATTAGGATTTCAAATAAGCAAACCACTCAATTAGATTACATATAAATAAAATGTCTTTAATACATTTATTATTATTTATATCATTCATACTATTTTTTAATTTAAAATAAACACTTTCTGGGATCATTAATCAGCCACGCAATGGCAGTAATTGCTCATCTCTTATCTTAATTGAGAAGTCCCTCACCAACTTTATTGTATAAGAAAACATATTAATTAAGTACTCTGCCAAGCAAAAAGCATATTTGTAGCAAAGTTTATTTTCATAAACCAAAACAAAAAAAAGTTCCTAATAACCACTAAACTTTTCCTGTCCACTTCATCTTAATTTGTGGTTGATTATTATTGTATTGCTTATGCCACGCCACAAGCAATGGCCAAAATATCTACACATACACGTATACTCACACATACATTCACATGGATGTACATACGTATGTATGTGTGAGTGCGACAGTATTTGCACTTTAATGTCTATTTAATTTGTATGAAACACAAATTAATTTCATAAGTTTTTCACCTTCAACAGTGTAAGTGGATTTTTTGTTTTCTTCAAATATTCTCATACAAACACTTTGGCGGCACACGGGCAGGCAGGAGTACAAAAGTACGCTAGAAGCAAAAGCTCCAAACAAAAAAGGGCTGTAAGGTCTGCTCATTGTTTGCCTTGCTGCTAACACTTTTCAGTCGCCACAATTGTTTCTTCCATTTGCAAAATTACAAATTTGAAAAAGGGGAAAAAGTACAAAATCTAAACTATGAAAAATTGCCCAGCCAGAAGCATGAATTCTGCTTTTTTTTGTGACATTGAATACTCTGTGATTGTTGTGAAAAGTTGAACGTTTGTTCTTTTACCATTTACCATTTCCCATTTAGATTTTTTATACACTTTGTACATTTTGTATTTAATACCTTTTTTTATTTTTTTTTTTTTAATTTTTACGACATTAAACAAATTTCTCTTCTCAGTTTTTATTTATTTTTTTTTTTTTTTTTTTGCAACAAAACTTTCACTCACCAAATTTTATTAATTGCTTCTGCAATTAAGATATATATTTTCGCTACTCCTGTGACCTCCACTTAATTGCACAGCACCGTACTTTTAGTGCTTAATTATTTGTGATTTTCGTGTTTTTTTTATTATTTTCAAAAACAACGAATTCTCTGTTATTCTTTAGAATACACTCTGCCTTACGACGGGCCAACTGAGTTTGCGACTGTTGCAAGTTGTTGGTTGCGCGTGCGAAACGTTTATGATATTGCCGCAAGTACGGTCTGTCGCTTTTATACGCGCAGTAAGCGAACGTGTGTGTGTGTGTGTGTGTGTTGGCGTACACTCGTGTTGGTGAATTCGTTCGTGTAACCTCAACGATGCTCTTCCAGCGGGTGGGGTGGTTGGGCGCTCAGCTGCTGCCGCTGTTGGCGCTGCTGGGTTTGTTTCTTGTTCTATTCTCATTGTAGCGCGTTGCAGTACAGCGCTGTCACTGCTGTCTCTACTGCCTGCTGCTGTTATCGGACGCAGTCGACGCTATCTTATCTCAGCTGACAAGCTTAGTTTACAACTGCTCGTATTTGAGGCTGTTGGCTGCGGCATTTCGTTCGGTACATCCCACTGCAGTAGATAATTTGTTCTCTTGTTCCGCTGCCAAGTCGTCGCTTATTTGTATTTATTCTGATATCAATGTTAATATACAAACACATGTATGTATGTATGTATTTATGTGTGTGTGTGTGTGTGTGTTTCTGCTGCATACGCTTGTCATTTTTTGTTTGTTTGTTGCTTGTTGTTGTGTCATCTCAGTCAAATCAGCACCGCAAGCAAAGTGGCGGAGTGACGTTGCAGTGCAGTTGGCGAGGGTGTCTGCTCGTGTGCGTGTGTGTATGTGTGATGAAGGCTTAACCACGTGCATTCTTAGTTTTGCGGCAATTCAGTATTTCGGCCAACTGGTTTACGCTAATTTGCTTTACACGCCGATTCGCTCTGCGCTTTCACTTTTGAAAGTTCTTACGTACGCTTTGCGACTGCTTAGATTTGGTTCGATTTGGTTTGGTTTCATCGCTTTTGCCGTCACTTGTACTCGTACTTGTATGCAAATTTTGTAAAATCTGGTATTTCAAAGCGAGTTGTTTGTACATATGTATGTACATCGCTTGTGCGTTATCGTTTAAGTGTAAGCTATGCTATATGCACTAGGGGAGTCAATATATCGTTTTAGAGCCCAAAAAATTTATTTAAATGTAATAAACAACTTAATTCTCTGAAATATTAATTTAGTTTATGGGCCCGATACTGCAAACGAACGTGTAGCACAAAAGTGATTTGCTAGGCTTCGTTTCGGTAATTTCGATGTCAAAGATGCACAACGCGTCGGGAGGCCTGTCGTCAAAAATTGCGATAAAATCATGGAAATAGTGAAAACAGATCGTCGCATGATAACTTATTTAATTGCTGAGGAACTAAAGATAAACCGGAAAACCGTTTGAAATCATTTGCATAACCTTGGATTCAAAAAGAAGCTCGATGTTTGGGTGTCACACGAACTAACGCAAATAATGTGATGGACCGAATTTCCATCTGCGAATCGCTGCTGAATCGCAACAAAATCGGTCCGTTTGTGAAGCGGATTGTGGATGGCGATGAAAAATGGGTCACTTATGGCCAAACGCACAATTCGGCCCTGCCAACAAATGCATCGCTTGAAAGCACAAATCATCCAGAAGAGGCCATCTTTGATCAACAGTGGCCGAATTGTGTTCCATAAGAACAACGAAAGACCACACGTCTTTGGTGACGCACCAAAAGCTCCAGGAGCTCGGATGCGAGGTCCTAATGCACCCACCTTAAATTCCGTACCTGGCAGCAAGTGATTACCATCTTTTCCTGTACATGGCGAACGCGCTTAATGGTGAGAAATTGACCTCAAGAGAGAAATTGGCTCTCCGAGTTTTTTACCAATAAGGGCACAGTTTTTTAGGAGAGAGGTATAATGATGTTGACATCTCGTTGTCAACAAATTTACGAACAAATGTACCCAAAGTTTTCATATTTCGAAAAATCAATAAAAAAAAACCTACCTTTGGCCTAATATTAACAAATTGATCTGCGAGAAAAAGGGCCAGCATATTCATTTTAGAAAAATATACTAAGTTTCAGTTAACCTCTCCATTATAGCCGAGTTAACAACGTTGCGTCATTCTGGAGACCGCATGACATATCCTGTGAAACGCTGCGGCGTATATCTCGTACAGCTCATGGTTCCAAAGAGAGAGAACAAAAAGCTTACGTAAAACCTTTCTTCCGCTTATGCCTCCGCGCCATATAGCAACACGGAAACCATAAGCGACCTGTAGAGTTTGGTCTTTGTTGATCGATAGAGAACTTTATTCTTCAACTGCCTTCTCAGTCCAAAGCAGTGCCTGTTGGAAAAAGGAATTCTGTGTTGGACTTCCAGGCTGACATTATTACACACAATTCATTTATTTACTGGATCTGCTAACAGTAAGTGTAAAAATTTAAAAACTAAATTACAAACATGATAGCTCGAGTTATTTAACTCTGAGCCCATTTTAAACTACGGCGCTCTCCTTAGAAGGCGGGCACATCTCTTCGCTGCAGGCAGGAATTTCGGCGGATTTGGATTATTTCTTAGCTTTGTGAAGTACTTCTTTCAATTTCAGGCTTAACCAGTAAAATACCAAGGTCTTTATGAATATTTACTTTATGAACGTACCATGGCGCGCCCGTTAGTGCGCTTAAAATTTTGGACTGGAACCTCTATACTTTATCAAAATTAGTTGCGCAGGTCGTACCCCACAGTTGAATACCATACATCTAAATTGGTTTCAATACTGCGTTGTGAATAAGGACTTTGTAGTCTAGTTTTAGACCGGAGTTTTTATTTAAGAGCCAATTTAAGCCAGCTGCTTTTAATTTAATGTGCAGTATTTTTGCCTCTATCTGTCTCTTCCAAGTGAGACGTCTATCTAAGAGTATACCGAGATATGTAACATCATTTACTTGGGGAATGTTTATACCATTTAAGCGAATTGCAGGACAAGATTGAGGTCTTAAAGTAAATGTGACGTGTTTACACTTTTGCTCATTAACTTTAATTCTCCAGTTTTCTAGCCATTCTTCGATGAGGAGCAAGTGATCACTAATCGTTTTTACCGCTCTTTTAGGGCATTTATCCCGGCATAAAATAGCTGTGTCATCCGCAAAAGTAGATGTCTGCACTTTTTGGTTTAATGGGATATCTGCAGTATATATGATATATAAAATGGGCTCGAGGACGCTTCCCTGTGGAACACCCGCTTTTACCGGATACTCCCCACTGATAAATTCAGATTGTTTAATGGTAAATTTTCTGTTAGTCATATATGTCTTAAGTATGATCTAAAATTGAACAGGCAGAGTTTTGTGTATTTTGTACAGTAAACCTTTATGACAGACTTTGTCGAACGCTTGTGCTACGTCAAGAAAGATTGCACAACAGCACCCCTTGAGCTCGAATGCCTTTCTGATTTCAATAGTTATTCGGTTAACTTGTTCAATAGTACTATGTCACGAAAGCCGAATTGATGATCTGATATCACATTGTTACGGTGGAGGAAAGGAGATATTGTTGATAGCAGAATTTTTTCAAATAATTTGGAAAGGCTGGGTAGTAGGCTTATTGGTCTGTAAGACGCCGCCTGTGTGTGGTCTTTGCCTGGTTTGGCTATCATTCATATCTGCGACTTTTTCCACGCGTTTGGAAAGTAATTTAATTTTAGAATGGCATTAAAGAGTTCAGAGAGCAATGCTTGTGCAACTCTCGGTAGCTCTATTAGCATTTTTAATGTTATGAAGTCGTGGCCTGGAGATTTCTTAGGATTCAGTTTCTGTATCGTGTTTACCACTTCTATGCTGGATATTTTAATTACCACCTGATTTTCCTTGCCGTTAACAGCAAATTCCGGCAAAATAAAATTATTAAATGCTTTGCAAAGCAATTTAAATTTCTTTTGTGCTATCCAGAGTGAGTAATTCTTGGCAGAATTTTTCGCTAGTTTTTCTATGTTTGCCTTAGCATTGTGATCTTCAGCTTGTTTCAGTGCACTTTTCTGTTTCCTCTTTGCTGCTTTCAACCGAAACTTTGCTGCTGGAGAGCGATCGTCTTGCCATTCTCCCCGAAAACGGCGCTTATTCTTAACTAATTCTTCTCCTCGTATTTCTGTATTTGTTAGGATTTTTAGGCACGTAGTAGGCTTTTTACTTTTTGGAGTTGCTAAGGTTGCCGCAGAAACAAAGAAATTATTGAGCTCATTAATGTAGTCATCAATATCGTTTTCACAATTCAATATTGGGTTGATGTTAATATGACTACTAGTATATTTTTGTATTTTAGCAAGTTGGTTTTTGTTAGTCTTGATTCTTGTGCAATTATCTTCGGGCGCTCGTAAATTTTTATTAGAACTGGTGAGTGGTCTGAAGACCACTCAGCAACTGTCGCAGCTGATACAAGTTGTCATTGTGATTGTAAAAGATGTAAATACTGGTTTAAAGATAAGCTAACTTATCTACGAGCTCAAAGTTATAACTGTCAACAGTGACGTGGGAGCCGAGTCGCATATGTGATGACTGTTTGTTTGGGGACAAACGACCGTTGCCCTCATTCACTGCGAGACCCACTTGCTTTGCTTCTTTATCGAGTCTGGAAAAAGCAAAACTAACGGCGCGGTTGTTGAGGCCAATAATGTCAATATTATCGACATAGTACGTTGAAAAGAATAAAAAATCACCTCATCTAAAACCTCGTTTGGTATCGAACGGCTCGGAGAGATACTTCCAGATCCCAGAGTTTACACAGACGATACCGAGTTTGGGCATAGCAGCGTAGGGGCAGCTCTTTTCAAGTTTTCGAAGGATACTTTAAAATCGACGAAGAGGTGAGGTGAGTCGATCCTCTTTTCAATGCAATATTTGCCGCATGGCAAATGTTGTTGGCAATAGACCTGGTAAGCGAACCATTGACCATATAATGGGTGTATGCATTAATTCGTGCGGTTTTCTAAGAGAGGCTCTACTAGTATTATTTCGCGTCGTGTTCATCTGTGGCTATATTCATTTCAGAGGTACTATCATATCTCGTCGCTTTCAGTAGATGTCATTTGTATCAGCGTGAACGTCAAAATTGTTTCGTTCATTTGAAAATGTCGAAATTTGTAACAGATAAAGTGTTTTTGCGGTGAGTTCTTCT